TTTAACAGTTACCGGAACTTGGCCTTTGTTGTTCCCAAACGTCATTTCATCAAAATTAATTACAAACTTCCTTGGTAGTAGATAATCCAATCCTAATATGCATTCTTCTTCAATGTCAGCCAAGTATACTTTCTCTTTGTCCCTTATGCCCATGAGCTCAATAGGTACCCACACTGGTCTCCACAATCTTGTAGAATGTCCTGTCACACCATAAAGCTTCTGTATGGCTTCTGGTACTCCTTCGTGATCTAACACCTTGATGCTCACAAGGGTTTGCTGAGACGCAGGGTCTATGACAAAGTTGAACCTTTGGCCATCCAGCTTTCCTGTCACATAGACACTGTGTGTGCTTGGCATTTTACACCTAGCTGTTGGGACTTTCAAGATGGGGGTTGGTGGGCATCGCTCAACACCAACCACTACTGGTCTCCTTGAAGCCGACTTGTTGGTAATATTCATCCTACACTGGCTCCTCATATGTCCGTGCTTTCCACAGTTCCAACAACCTTTCTGTGTAGCAGCCTTTCCTGCTGTATCATCTCCCCTGTGTTGAAGTTTCCAGCATTGAGCTCTCTTGTGCCCAAGTTTGTTACAGTGCCAGCAAAGTTTGTCAAACTTCTCTGAAAGCTGACCTTTTCTGACCTTGAATCCAGATGACTGTATCAGCCTTGGTACCTCTGTGCTGGACTTAACGTAGGATTCAAATTCGAGAGCTCTGGCCATTCCATCCTGCATGGTAGGTGTGTGCTTGCTTCACTTGTATCTTCAGTTGGGGACTGTCCAAGGCATTTACGGACTGATCCCTCAGAAACCGCTTGAGGAGATAGGTTGGTGCAGTTGGGTAGGCCTTGTGTGCCATGTTTTCCAAGTCCTGTGCCAGCTCTTGCGCACTCTCACCTTTAGCACGGACTCTCGTCCTAAACCTAGCCCTGTAGACTTCTGACTGATTTTGGGTTCCATACCTGAGTTCTAGAGCCGCTACCAATGCTCTATAGTTGTGTCTCTCGTCTGCTGACAACTGTCCAAGTATT